CCATAGGAAATCCCAAACCACCCGCTCCACAGAGGTGAGCTCCTCCACTTAACGTAATTCATCCAGAGTTGGCCTTTCTGCAACCAAACGTTGTCACGTGCCATTGACCAGCCGGAGCCCAATTTAAAACAGCCTGTCAGCCAAGCCTGGTGGCACATGCCTGTAATCCCAGCACTCAGGAGGCTGAGGCAGGAGGGTCGTTGCAAGTGTGAGGCCAGCCTGAGCTACAAAGTGAGCTCAAGGCCGGCCTGAACTGCATAGCAAGACCCTGTCTCAAAAAGGCCAAAAAAAACCTAGCCCTGGACTACTGGAGACCCCTGGTTCCTTCGTCCTCAGAATTTGTGAGGCCCCACAGCCATCTTATCTTCCTAGGCCTGGGTCATCAGTTCTAATTCTCCCATAAGCCTCTCATACTTGACTCCCACCCCGCTTCAAACCTGGATGCTGTGTCCCCCCTCCCGGACTCACTGTCACCTTCCCCCATCCTCCTGCGTTCTTTCCCTCTATCCCTCTCCTCTCCCCACTCTGCAGAAGCCATACGTGTGTAAGCTCCCGGGCTGCACCAAACGCTACACGGACCCCAGCTCACTGCGCAAACACGTCAAGACAGTGCACGGTCCTGACGCCCACGTGACCAAGCGGCATCGAGGGGACGGGCCTTTGCCCCGGGCACCATCCCTGTCTACAGTGGAGCCCAAGAGGGAGCGGGAAGGAGGCCCCGTGAGGGAGGAGAGCAGACTGACTGTGCCAGAGGGCGCCGTGGTGAGCCAGCGCGGCCATGTTGCTTCTCGGCTTCCCCCACCTGCTCGGCTGACAGCTCCCCAGCCCCTTCCTAACTGTCCTCTCTTACGTAAGCTGCTCTTCGGTGGCCAGTCTGTCTGTCTCTTGTCCCAGTGTTGTTCCTCGGCCAACCCCAAATCTTAGGCTTTGGAGTTGTGAATTATTTAATGGACTCAACCAACTCACTTCTCACTAGCACTGACTATATTGTTTCTAGGGGTTTTGTTTTGTTTTGTTTTTTGTTTGAGATAGGGTCTTGCTATACAGTTAAGGCCGGCCTTGAATTCAAAATGACCCTCCTGCCTCAGCCTCTCAAATGCTGGGATTACAGGCATATACCACTATGCCCAGCTTGTTCCAAGCCTTTTACATGCAAAATGTCACATACTCCTCATGATAACTTCATGAGAAAGGTGCTTGCTCCCCATTTTCAGGTGAAGAAATTCGGGCATAAAGAAACTGCCCAAGGCTATGGGACTGAAGCCGGGCATGGTGGTGCACGCCTGTAATCCCAATACTTGGGAGGCTGAGGCAGGAGGATCTTTGGGAGTTCGAGGCCAGCCTGCGCTACAAAGTGAGCTCAAGGCCAGCCTAAACTGCATAACGAGCCCCTGTTTCAAAAAGACAAAAAAAAAAAAAAAAAGAAAAAAGGCTATAAGACCCAGCAAGAATTTGTGGCCTGGTAGTCTGTGCTCCAGCCTGGACTCTTCTAAAACTTCTCTCTTCTGTTTGTTTCGGGTTTTTTTCCAGTACCGGGAATTGAACTCACAACCTTGTGTTTGCCAGGCAGGCGCTGTGCCGCTGAGCTAAATCCCCAGCCCCTCTCTTCTGGTCTGTTCCAGTCTTTCTCACTGCTCAGGCTTTTCTACCCTTGTTATGGCTCCTTTCCGCCCCAGCCCGCACTGGGACACATGCTTCCGCCACTCACCAAGCTGCAGGACTTGGGGGAGGGGCAAGGGTGCCACCCTCAGTCCTCGTCTTCCCCACAGAAGCCACAGCCGAGCCCGGGGGCACAGTCTTCCTGCAGCAGCGACCACTCCCCAGCAGGCAGTGCAGCCAATACAGACAGCGGCGTGGAAATGACAGGCAATGCGGGGGGCAGCACTGAGGACCTGTCCAGCTTAGATGAAGGCCCTTGCATGGCTGGCACTGGACTCTCCACTCTCCGCCGCCTTGAGAACCTCAGACTGGACCAGCTGCATCAACTCCGGCCAGTAGGGCACCGGGGTCTCAAGCTGCCCAGCTTGACCCAAACCGGTGAGACCCGGGTGTAGGAAGTGCTGCTGGGCTGAGATCTGGACCTTCCCGGAGGTTGGGAGGAGGAAGTCACCCCTTCAGGGCTGCTACGTGGCACCTTTGTGCAATTAGAAGGTCCCCCTTCTTCAAGGCACTTCTCCTCCCACCTGCCAGAAAGTTGTCACATACAAATATACAAAGTGTATGATGTGAATGCCTTCCCCTAGAACTGTGCAGTAGACAACCTATATGGTGTTCATAGCAGTCCTGAATCCCTGGTTACCCAGAAACAGAAGAGACATGAGAGAAGCAGGAGACAGAACTGAATAGCAGCCGGGCGTGGTAGCACACGCCTGTAGTCCCAGCACTCGGGAGGCTGAGGCAGGAGGATCGTTGTGCATTTGAGACCACCCTGGGCTACAAAGTGAGCTCAGGGTCAGCCTGAACTGCATAGAGAGACCCTGTCTCAAAAAGACAAAAAAAAAAAAAAAAAAAAGAACTGAATAGTTAGGGTTAAAGAGCCTGGGACTCCAGGACAAGACCAGCCCATGAGAGAGGCAAGATGGGATGCAGGGAAGTGGGCCGGGGATGTAGCTCAGTGGCGTAAGTGCCTGCCTGGCAAGCGCAAGGTCCTGAGTTTGATTCCCAGTACCAAAAAAAAAAAAAAAAAAGAGAGAGAGAGATTCAGGGGACGCCCTGACCACCCCGCCTTTTCTCCCTGTCCCTTCCAGGCACCCCCGCGTCCCGCCGTCTGGGCCACTCAGTCTCCCTTGACCGCCGCAGCAGCAGCTCTAGCAGCATCAGCTCCGCCTACACCGTCAGCCGCCGCTCCTCCCTCGCCTCTCCTTTCCCTCCTGGGTCTCCACCCGAGAATGGGGCATCCTCCCTGCCTGGCCTCACGCCTGCCCAGCACTACCTGCTCCGGGCAAGATACGCTTCAGCTAGGGCGGGTGGTACCCCGCCCACCACAGCACCTGGCCTGGATCGGATGGGAGGTCTTCCTGCACCGCCTTGGAGAAGCCGAGCTGAGTACCCAGGATACAACCCCAACGCGGGGGTCACCCGGAGGGCCAGTGACCCCGCCCGGGCTGCTGACCGCCCTGCTCCCGCCAGAGTCCAGAGGTTCAAGAGCTTGGGCTGTGTCCACACACCCCCTTCTGTAGCTGGGGGAGGACGGAATTTTGACCCCCATCTCCCTAACTCTGTCTATTCACCACAGCCCCCCAGCATCACCGAGAATGTCGCCATGGATACTAGAGGGCTACAGGAGGAGCCGGAGGTTGGGACTAATGTTCTGGGCAGCGGCCTGAACCCTTACATGGGCTTCTCATCTGCTGATACTCTGGGGTACGGGGGGACTGAAGGATCAGCGGCTGAGCCATATGGAGCTAGGGGTCCAGGTTCTCTGCCTCTCGGACCCGGTCCACTCACCAACTATGGCCCCAACCCCTGTCCCCAACAGGTCTCGTATCCTGGCCCTACCCCAGAAACATGGGGCGAGTTCCCTTCCCACTCTGGGCTGTACCCGGGCCCCAAGGTCACAGGCGGAGCCTACGGCCAGTGTGCTCGACTTGAACACTATGGACAAGTGCAGGTCAAGCCAGAACAAGGGTGCCCAGCGGGGTCTGATGCCCCAGGACTGGCATCTTGCCTCAATGCACACCCCAGTGAGGAGCCCCCATGCCCACCGCCGCCGTTCTCCCACTATCCCCAGCCTCCTCCTCACCAGTACCCCCAGTCAGGCTCCTACCCTCAGCCACCCGCTGACTATCTCGCTTCAGAGCCCAGGGCTGGCCTGGATTTTGATTCCCCTGCCCATTCTACAGGACAGTTCAAGGCCCAACTGGTGTGTAATTACGTTCAGTCTCAGCAGGAGCTCCTCTGGGAGGGTGCGGGCAGGGGCGAGGCCCCAGTTCAGGAACTTCCCTACCAGAATCCCAAGTTTCTGGGGAGCTCCCAGGTTAGCCCAAGCCCTGCCAAAGCCCCAGTGCCCACATACGGACCCGGATTTGCACCCACCTTGCCCAATAACAAGGCAGGGTCCTACCCTACCCCTTCACCATGCCATGAAAATTTTGCAGTGGGGGCAAATAGGGCTTCTCATAGGGCAGGGGCACCACCCCGACTTCTGCCTCCACTGCCTACTTGCTATGGGCCCCTCAAGGCGGGCAGTGCCAACCCTAGCTGTGGCCATCCCGAGGTGGGCCGGCTGGGCGGGGGTCCTGCTTTGTACCCTCCTCCAGAAGGGCAGGTGTATAACCCTCTGGACTCTCTTGACCTCGACAACACCCAGCTGGACTTTGTGGCAATTCTGGACGAGGCCCAGGGGCTGAGTGCTCACCCTTCCCATGGTCAGGGGGACACCTCTGAACGCACCCCACCTCCCTCTGGGCCTCCCAACATGGCTGTGGGCAACATGAGTGTTTTACTGGGATCCCTACCTGGGGAGACACAGTTCCTCAACTCTAGTGCCTGAAGGGTGAGGAATCTCATCCGTGGGACCTGCATTTTTAAAGGGTTTCCATCTCTCCAGAGAAGTCAGGGAGAGGAGCCGTAGCCCTCTGCATAAGATGCTCCAGGGATGGGATATAAGGGCTGGGGCAATATTTAGTCTGTTTATATTTTGGGAAGGAATTTGATAATGACACTGTTTCCTGATAATAAAGGAAGTGCATCAGAAAGAACTGCTTTATGTGCTATCTCAGGACAGGAACAAGAAAAGAGGTAGGCGGTTCATCACCCCACTCTCTTTTTTTTTTTTTTTTTTGTCTTTTTGAGACAGGGTTTCACTATGTAGTTCAGGCTGGCCTTGAGCTCACTTTGTAGCCCAGGCTGGTCTTGAACTTGTAAGGATCCTCCTGCCTCAGCCTCCCGGGTGCTGGGATTACAGGCGTGTGCCACCACACCCAACCCCACTCTCCTCTTCAGAAAGTTCCCTTACCAGACCCTAAGCCCTCACATCAGACCCAGGAAGATGGAGGACGTCACTGGGAGACAGGGTTTTATAGGAATGTTCTTAAAACAACATCCTGCTCCCCACCCCTAAGTCACCCAACAGATCCTTAGGAAACGTTTCCTCCTCTTTGCCCGAGTCAGGGGAAGAGGCTGGTGAAGTCAGTGAGCATCAGCTGGACCAGCTGCCCAGGGTAGAGCGCGTGAGCTGCCGGGTCAGATGTCTCCTGCTCTGGCCGAAACAAGGTTGGTCCAAACACAATCCCCAGGTTGTGGGGGGTCATGCGGTTGCTATCTGAGTGTGCTATCACCCTGGAGGCAAAGGCCAAGGGAAGAGGAAATAAGCCAGCAGCTTCCACTTCAACTCTTAAAAAAAGTTCTAGTGCCGGGTGTGGTGGCGCACGCCTGTAATCCCAGCACTCAGGAGGCTGAGGCAGGAGGATCATTGCAAGTTCAAGACCAACCTGGGCTGCAAAGTGACTTAAAGGCTAGCCTGAACTGCATAGAGAGACCTTATCTCAAACAAACAAACAAAAGTTCTAACCGATCACTCTGCTCTATGGCTGAAGGAACCAAGGACAAAGCCTCAAGGAGAACAGAGATGGCCCAGTGGGGACACCTGCAGGATACACCTGGGAAGTAACTGCTGGACTCCCCACTTTAGGGATGGCTCCTGGAGTTCTTGCACGCCATGGTTTGGGAGGCTTTCATTCAAATGGGCATCTCCTCCCGGAAGGGGAGGACCCAGGCCTAGCTCAGCCTAACACGGCATCACCACTGCCCCAGTTAGAGGCAAAAGCAGAGGGAAGGGAAAAGTAACATTTTCCTTATTCCTGTCACAGTGTTCCTGGGCTTGTCTTGGTTCCATCTCCCATTTGCTAACGAGCTACGCAAGGGCTTTGACAAACATCTCCTGCCCACTGTACTTTCTTTATCTCTGTCCACCTGAACAGAGTCTCTGCCGTGTGCCCCATGTACCCTCCCCAGCATGAAAACAGAGGCGTGGTCTTCTTTACCTGCATAAATGCTCCAGGAGGTACCGCAGAGTGTCATGATTGGGCTTTGGCATCGACTCAATTAATTCTTGTATTTGAGAGAGGCGCTCTTCTGATTTGGAGAGCGCTAGAGAGAGAGTAACGGGTAGGGTGAGTAAATTCACTACACTTTTTTCCTATGTCCGTGGAAGATGTCATTAATTTGTTTTATTTTATTTTTACATCATTAATTTATCACAGCCTTTTTTTTTTTTTTTTTTGTACTAGGGACTGAAGCCAGGGCCTTGTGCTACTAAGCGAGCAGTTTAGCACTGAGCTACTCCCAACCCCCAGTTTTGTTTTTCAAATAGCTCAACTACAGCATCAGAATCTTTGCAGTTCAGTCCGCTACATATTCACCAAAACAGGGGAACATGGTGGCACATGCCTGTAATCCCAGCACTCTGGAAATCTGAAGGCAGGAGGACTGAGAATTTCAGGTCAGCCTGGGCTACATAGTAGGACCTTATCTCAAAAAACAAAACAAAACAAAAAACGGGTGTAGTGGCGCATGCCTGCAATCCCAGCGTTCGTTCGGGAGGCTGAGGCAGGAGGATCTTTGTGAATTCAAGGCCAGCCTGGGCTACAAAGTGAGCTCAAGGCCAGCCTGAAGTGCATAGCGAGACCCTGTCTCAAAAAAAAGACCAAAAAAAAAAAAAAGTAAACAAATTTTAAAAATCCCAAACACAAAAAACTGAGGTTAGAATGAGATTTTTTTTCTCCCCAGGATGGAAGGGAGCGCTGGGGATATAGCTCAGTGGCATAAGCGCTTGCCTGGCAAGCCTGAGGTCATGAGTTTGATTCCTGGTACCAAAAAAAAAAAAAAAAAAAAGGATGGAAGGGAATCTCTGTTCTTCACGAGTCACATCCCCCATATCAAAGATACTGTCCAACCCTTACCAAGGGCAGCACGGAAATGAGGCAGCAGCTGTGGAGGCACCAGAGGCTGGGGCAGCTCCCGGAGAAAAAGCTTCAGGGCTCCAGTGACCACGTGAATGTCGTCCCATTCAGCACTGTCCAAATCTAACTGACCTTCTGGAGGGAAAAGGAGGTTCAACAGGTTCAGGACTCATACACGGCCAGAGACACCCAGGAGAGGTCGGGAGCTCTGGAGAAAGCCAGTCAAAGCAGACCCCGGGCAGGCCATGACAGTCCATAGCGGGGAGAAAACAGCCAAGATGGGGATGGGACCACTTCCCCAGGAGCAAGACCTGGGGGAACCCGTGAGACCGAGGTGGGTACCACAGTGTTAGGGCTACTTTCAGGTACATACCTTGCCCTGACTGTTCTGGGAACATATACCTCCCATCAGAGGTAACCGCCCGCTCTGCAACAAGTGTAAGAGATTAGGAACTACAGCGTGGAGGTCCAGGCAGAAACACGTTCCAGCCCCTGGCCCAGAACCACCCCTAACTCAGAGGCGTGGCGTTCTCAGCACCACCCTTCACCCACGGTCTCTCTCACCTCTGTCCACCAGAAAGCGGAGTTTTTGGACCACTGCCAAGTTTCCGCTCACCCGGTAGATGCCATCAACATCTAGACCTAGGAGAGCAGGCGGGGAGCAGATAAGGACCCCGTTGTACAGTGTGCACGGTGAGGGACGCTGAGCGAGCAGGAGGGAGAAACGGCAGCGGGACCGTGCTGGGGAGGCCGCGTGTTGGAGGAGAGTCTGCAGCCTCTGGGGAAATGACCTCTTTTATCCACAGCAGCAACGCAGAGCCGCACGAAGCCGGGCACCGTGTCCCCTTCCCGCTGGCACAGGGATTCCAGCTGGCAGCCGAACACCTGATCTGCGGAGGCAGGGGGAGGTGGGAGGCCGGCGTCAGCTCACCCAGAGAAGCTCTTCCAGCACAAGTCTTCCCCCCAAGTGCCATGGCTTTCCTGCTGTCTGTGTCCCACCTGGGCAAGGAGGCATCTCCCTGCCCCTCCCTCAATAACCAATGGGAATGCAAGAAGCAAATGTCTGAGGAGACTGGTATAGCTATATGGGAAGCTCTACTTTGACCTTCTCTACTTTTCTCATCTGTGAAATGGGCTGATGCCCAGATCAAGAACATGAGGGGCTGGAGATTTAGCTCAGCAGCACAGCACCTGCCGGGCGAGCAAGGTCCTGAGTTCAATCCCCAGTACGGTGTGTGGGGGGGACGGGGGGGGGGGGACACCGATGGACGGGGACATGAAAGTAATTGTAAAAAACACTAAAAACAGTGCTTGTAAAAACAATTGGAAGGCTGAGGCAGGAGGATCTTGGGAGTTCAAGGCCAGCCTAGGCTAAATGGTGAGCTCCGGGCCAGTCTCAACTACATATGAGACCCTGTCTCAAAGAATACCACTAAAATAGACACACACACACACACACACACACACACACACACACACACAGGCACAAAGGCATAAGGCCAGAGCTGTCTCAGACCACCCACCTCGAAGCAGGCCCCGCTCCTGAAGGCTTTGCAAAGGCGGTCTCTTGGCAATAAACCGCTTTAGCTTGTTCCTCACGCGATTCTGCTCAGTGCCTTCGGGACACCGACCTGTAGGAAGTGGGTAGAGCAATTCCAAGCCCAAGAAGAGCGCTTCCGGACCTCCCTTCGAGCCCCAGGCCACGCCGTCCCGGAGCCCGGCCCGTACTGGAGCTCCGGCGGCTGCTGAACCGCAGCAGCGGCTTGGACACCGGCTCGGACTCCTCTTGCTCATCCTCCCCGGCACTCAGTTCCGCCAGTTCCGCCGGTCCCGACCCGGACAGACGCAGCTCCAGGGGGTTCTCCCGCTCCTGCAGCCGGGCGGGCAGGAGGGGCGGCGTATGGAGTTACAAGAGAGGACAAAAACCACTTTGCACCCCCACTGGGAAGCAAGGAGACACCGACACAGCCCTGCTCCGGAGACCCCGACTCCTGCCGTCCCCTCCCCACGGCTGCGGCCCCACCCGAGCTTCTCCCGGGCCTCCCACGCATCTCACCCACCAGCCGCTCGATGACCGCCCGCAGCGCGCGGCGCCAGGCTCGCAGCTCGCTCTCCTGGTCCGACTGCAGCAGGAACTCGTGGCCAGGGACCGTGCGGATCTGCCGGGGTGCAGAGACCGGCTCGGGTCAGCGCGGGGGTGCCCCACACCGCGGGGAGACGGGGCGCACCCTCGGGGCGGGCAGGACCGGGGACGGGCGGGACTCGGGGACACTCACGTGCAGGACGTTGCGGCGACTGGACAGGTGGCGGCCGTGAGACAGGGCCGCCCCGCGCAGGTCCACGCTGCTCTCGGGGCGGCTACCCGCTGGAGCCTGGCCGTCAGGGGAGAAACTGAGGCCGCGGAGTTGCCCCCCGCCCCCGGCGCCCCTCGCACCGGTGGGTTTCGAGGCGGTGGGGCGCGCGATCCTCCCTTTACCTTGCCCAGCGTCGGCACCCCCTCCCCGCCCCCCGGTCCCGGTGAGCCGGCGGGAAGCAGCGCCCCCGCGCCCCGCTCGCCCGCACTCACCCAGCCAGCAGAGGGCGCCGGCGGCGGCGGCTCGCGGTAGAACACCAGGCTGTTGCCCGCCAACACCACCCACGCGGGGGCCCAGCTCTTCCTGCGGGCGGCCGCGGCGTGGGGGTCAGGGCGGAATCACCCGTGCAAGCGCGTCCGCGTCCCCCGGCCGCACCCGCGGGGTCCAGTAGCGCGCCCCCGGCGGGGGCAGGCGGCCCTCCTCACCTGAGCTTGCGCCCCCCTTGAGCAATCCTGGTCACGTTGAGCAGACCCGACTGTTCCACCTCCTGGGAAGGGGGCGAGTCGGGTCTCTAACCCACACCCTGCGCTGCCCACCTGGTCCCCAGGGCGGCTCCCGGGAGGGAGGTCCCCGAAAGCTGGGGGAGGGGGAGCTGGATAAAAGAGGATGCCCAGAAAGAGGAAGATGTTTTTGAGGAGCAGGAATGGGGGGTGGGGGCCGGGGAGGCTTTGCGTATTCAAAATGGGGAGACTCACATGGGGGTCTTCCAGCAGCTGCGGCGGATCTCGGCGGCGCGCCAAGGCTGGCGGCTGGGCAGAGGGCACAAGCTGGGCGGGGCGCTGGCCCAGGCAGGGGGACCCCTGGAGGAGGGATTGCAGAAACAAGGACGGGAGCCTTCAACTTGAGGGTCCCTGGCTGTAGGAGAAAGAGGGGTGTACCTGTGCCTGAGGGGGCAGCGGGTGTCGTGGGCACTGAAGGTCGTTCATAAAAGAGAAAGTAGTAAAAAAGCTAGCTTTTTTTTTTTTTTTTTTGCATATTTTTGGGAGGTAGACGAGGTCTCACCTCTGGGTCAGGCAGTTCCAGGGTCCCTGTGCCAGACCCCAAGCCCTCTGCCTGAGGCTGCAGGACACCATTGTCCCTGTTCAGGGTCTGTGTCCCCTCCATGGAGCCAGGGTCCTGGGGAGGCGGCGTGGGGGGTAAAGGTACATTCAGATGCCACTTCACTGCTCCCGACACCCATCTCACAAGTGACTGTTTCTTTTGGTCTGAGAGAACACACACTGCCTGGAGGGTCAGCGGAGAAAGGAGGAGATTGAGGGACCACGGGGCAGGCAGAAGGGAAGGTCTCACCGTGTCCGGGACGCGACTGCGGCGCGGAGGCTTCCAGGATTTGCAGCCGGTGAGTGAGTTCACGTAAAAGCAGCGTCCGGAGTTGGGGTCCAGGTGCTGCTCCCAGGCGTCCAGCCTCTGCAATAGGGGGCATGCAGGGTCTGAGGGTGGGGATCGGGGGCAGCGGCGAAGGTCCACCAAGTTACTGTACACGGCGGGCTCGGACATGAGAGGCTGGGGTCCTGCCTGTCAGAAAGGGGGAAGAAGGAGGTGGTTATTCTGTCCATCCCCATCCCCAGCCCTTTCTCCCCTGTACCACCTCCTCCTCTCTCCCCCACTATTTTCTCACCGCCAGCTCCTGGACAGGGTGACTCAGGTACAGGGGCACAAACCCCAGTCCCTGGGCTGCTTTTTTTAAAAAAAAAAAAATTCTCTCCCTCACAGTCTTTGCTTTTCTCTTCACTTCCTGTTGCCAACTTCCCTCCTCCCCCACCCCCTCACCACCACCCCGAGCCGCAGGAAAGGGGAACAGGCTTTTTGTGAGGGGGGGCTTGAGGGGAGTGCCCCACCTTCACATCCTGCAGGGAAAAAGAAGACAGCTGGGAGACCCCACTAGGGGAGTGTGAGGCAGGAGGCTATTTTCCACCCACTAGCAAAAAAGAGAGAGGGAACGGGCCGAGCAAGGGCCGTCAATGTCCAGAGGGGACTTGGTGTCCAAGCTAGCCAGAGGGAGCAAGGGAGACCTCCTGCCCGGAGCCGGGAGTCGGGAGGAAGAGCCTAGCACACTGGCTTTTTTCAGACCTTGCACTGAAGCGCGTTCCTTTTCTAGCTACTTGCTGTCCCTGATTTGGTTACACCCCTCTCTTCTTCCTCTGTGTTCAGTGGCTTTAAAGACTGTTTCTGCCACCGTCCACCACATTTGTTCTTTGTAGCGCTTCCCAGCGCCAGGATCAGTAAGGGTTATCCTATTTAAGTTTGCACTCCCAGGGGAATTCCTTGGGGCAGGGATGTGGCCCTGTTTGCCATTGTGCCAGAATAGGGTTCCCCCCCCACACCCCTAGTATTTTTTTGACTATATGCAGAAGAAAAGCTGTGGCTCACCATGTTGGCATTGGCTTCTGTCAATGCATCTTCCTCAAAGAGGGATCTTCCACTTGGCCCGTCCTGGAGGGGCTTCAGGGGGCTGGGCCTCAAACTGGCAACACTGATGCTTCTACACATCTTGGGGGGAAGGGGAGGAGGCTGCTCAGATGGAGCCTGGTGTGCCTGAGGTGGGTGCAGGGCCTCCAGCGAGCTATGAAATAGCTTTGGCTCTAGAAACAGAGAAATGAGGGGTGCCTGGATCAGGGGTGTGATCCTGGTTAGGTCTTCAAGGAGGGCGGACGGAGGCTGTGGAAATGGCATGAGACCTGGAAAGCTTGGAACTAGGAGGGGGAGGCGATGGAATGCAGATACCACCACTGCAGGGGTGCGGGACGAGGGGAGGTTGATCCAAGGGAGATAAGGGGGTCAGCACATGCGAAGGGGAAAAGGATCCTTTCAATAATTCCCCAAAGCCAGGGAGCTAGGAAGGTGATGGGGCAGAGCTTAGGGCTTACTTACCAGGAGTCCAGAGCGATTGGCTGGGTGTAATAATAGTTGGGCTCTGGGAAGCAATGGCTTCCTCTGTCATGTAGGCAGCTGGGACAAAGATGGGTTGAGAGGTAGATGGTGCTCCCAGGCGCCTTGCTAACCACCAGTCCGAGTTGGTCTTCCGAAGCAGTAGGAACCTGTCACCTTCAGCCAGACACACCTGCCGGCCATCTGCCGCAGTATAAGAAAAGGGATAGAGGGCACAGAGCTGGGACCCTGGAGAAGGGCTTCGGGGCCCTAGCCCCAGGTTCCCCCAGGTACTTGGCCACCAGTGACTGGATAGCATTGTGGTCGGCACTGTCACCTGTGGGCAAAAGAGGAGTTGGAGACCCAGGAGGAAATAATACTACTGGCTTCAGACAGAGGGACATGGTTCTAAGAGCAGTGTGTACAGGGGAGGTGAGGACAGGAACCCTAGGGTAAGAAGAGGGGGTAAAGCAGAGGGCCAGAATGAGGGTCCATGCAGGTTTGGGGGTCTGAGAACTCCTGGGCAACGTATCTGGTGAGGAAGTGGATAAATAAGGTGAGAGAGGATGTGGTCAGCAGCGCTGTGTGGCTGGTGAAGCAGGAAATCAGAAGAAATGGCCTAGGCTGGTAATTTTCCTCCAAGTACCTTGTAGGGGCCATCCGAAGACCCAGGGGCATGAGCAGCTGGTCCTGGGTCCTGGCAGGAGTCCGAGGCTGGACACAAGAAAGAGATGAGGAGGAAGAATCAGGTCCAAGGCAGAAACTCAGGGGAGAACAAGAGATAATGACAAAAAAAGTCAGTGACCTTTATTAAATTTGCACAGGCATCAACGTTTCCGTTACCGATCACCTCAGACCGAAGCCTGAGTGCTTCCTGTGCAGACAGACACAGACCAGAGAAGCAGACAGCCGGAGACACGGTAATAACAAACGAAAGAGAAAGAGAATAGTGGCTGGGAAAGATGCAGAGAGGTTCAGAATTGAAGTATCACCTGCATCGCGATCTAAAGCACTGTTTTGGGAACTAAGAAACTTGATAGGATCCTCTATGCATCGGCCTCTTTGACAGAGGACCCAGCTTTACTGTGTGGGTTCATTTATATATGCACTCAAGAAGGACTGCTTGAGCACCCTGAACAAGGAAAAGTTGAGCACTAGAGAGGAGAGAGAGGGGAGTGAGCCCTTTTGTTGTTTTAGGAGAGGTGACCTTGACGGAGGACACAATGAACTATTAATTAGTTACACTAGGTCATGGGCTATGGACAAGTGGTAAAAGGGCATGACAGACTTCCGGGAAGAAGGTGAAATGGCAAACACAAGAGAAAGACCCTCTCTGAGATTTGGTGTCCAGATGCTGGAATATAGCAATATGAGGAGGGGAAGGAGGAAAGTGGGTCCCCGGGACCCAGCAAGGTTCTGAAGCAAGAATTGAAGCCCACAGGGACAGCAACCGGCAATAGCAGAGACATGCCCTAACGTGGACATTTTTTTCTTCCTCTCTTCTTTTTTCTGTCTTTTCTTGTTTTTTGATTTTTTTTGGGGGGGGGTTGTTATTTTTTTTTCTTGACTGTTCTTGTCTCTGTATGAGCGTGAACGTTGTTTCTAGGTTTCTTGTTGTTGATGTTCTATTCTTTTTATGTCTTCCTTCTCTTTCCCTCTAGTCTTCTTCAGCTCCCAAAGTTTGTGTGGTCTTCCTTTGTCCTCCAGCCTTGCTTCTAATCTCTTCCTCTTCTCTTTCTCTATTCCCCCTCCCCAACTCCTTTAAAATTTTCTCCCTTGAGGATAAAATTACCATATTCAGGGCATATTTACTACACACAATTTTTTGGCTGGCTTTAGATTTTCTTATATAGCCACAAATATGGTTAAAGGTGCCAAATTAGTAGTTCCCACAGTTTGTCATTTTCTAGGCTATGTTTGATGCTATTGTTATTGTTGACTGTACTACTTTAACCAAAGTGACATAATTGTGCTAGTCAGTTGTTCTTCCTAGTATGCCAGGAATAAGATTGCCTAAGGGTCATAAAAAATACTTTAGGCCAGTGCCAAAGAAGCAAGAGCTAGGTGAAATAGGCAGCAACTTCTCATACCCAATAAATTGAAGAGGTAGACTACCGCAACAGATTCAACACCCAAAACACAGCTACACCTGGAAAACATCTCTGAGAAGTAGTCATTTCTAAGGGTTCTAAACACTAGCAATAATCTGGGTGTTTCAAGAGGCTGAGGCAGGGGTATGGTCATGAGTTTGAGGCCAACCTGGGCTACATAGTGAGTTCAAGGCCAGCCTGGACTACACAGTGAGACCTTGTCTAAAAAAAAAAAAAAAGGAAAGAAAGCTATCTGCCGTCAGCAATTAAAAAAAAATATATATATACACACACACACACACACACACACACACACACTTTCTTTCCTTTTTTATTTTTGAGACAAGGTCTCACTGTGTAGTCCAGGCTGGCCTTGAATTCACTATGTAGCCCAGGTTGGCCTCAAACTCATGACCATACCCCTGCCTCAGCCTCTTGAAATACCCAGCTTATTGCTAGGGTTTAGAACCTTTAGAAATGACTACTTCTCAGTGAGAAGGCACTTAAGCAAGATGTAATCCTAGACTTGCAGCTGACCAAGGGAAAACTCAAAGGGCAATGAGGTGGAACAGTTTGAAAGCCACCCACCTGGACTCTCTGAAGTGGTAACAGCAAAAATAACAAAGCAGGGGCTGGGGATTTAGCTCAGCGGCAAAGCGCCTGCCTGGCAAGCGCAAGGTCGTGAGTTCGGTTCCTGGTACCGGAGAAAAACCAAAAAAATAAAAAATAAAAAAATAACAAAGCAGATGAATGAGGCTGTAGAAAAAATCAAAACAGAAATAATCTCTCAGATATCTATAGTGATGGGGACCATAGTGAAAGACATGGCTAGTGACTCTAGAGAAGGTACAGATTAAAAAAGCCATAGAGGAGCTTAGGAAAATGATAGACACCATGAATGCCCAACTTAGAAAGAAAATGGAATCCATGAAACAGATTCAAATATATATCCAAGAGATTAAAAATTCCATTGAAATTATATGCAGCAGGATGAGCCAATGTGAGGACAAAATGTCAGATACAGAAGGCAGGATTGCAGTTAGTGATCACAAAAAGAAAGATTTCTTAAATGTAGCAAGAGATAGCCAGGTGTGGTGGCACATGCCTGTAATAGCAGTACTCAGGAGGCTGAGGCAGGAGGATCACCATGAGTTCAAGGCCAGCCTGAACTTCCATAGTGAGACCTGTCTCAAAAAGACAGAAACAAAAAACAAACAAACAAAAAAAACAAAAAACAAAAAACAGGGAACCATGAAAAAGCAATCCAATCCAGGTGTGGTGGTGCACACATGTAATCCCAGCACTCAGAAGGCTGAAGCAGTAGGATCATTGCAAGTTTGAGACCAGCCTGGGCTACAAAGTGAGCTCAAGTTCAGCCTGAACTGCATAGTGAGACCCTGTCTCAAAAAGACAAAAAGAAAAGAAAAAAAAATCACATAAGATTGATCAGAGTCAATGAAAAAGCAGGAGACATCACAAACAACATAAAAAAACTTGTTGGCAGGCATGGTGGTACATGCCTATAGTCCCAGCACTTGGGAGGTTGAGGCAGGAGGAAAAAGAATTTCACATACACATAAGTAAGGCATATAGAACTCCAATCAGCCATGATCAAAAACATTATACACCAAGGCATAGTCAAAATTCCAGAAATTCAACCTAAGAACAAAATATTAACAGCAGTTAGAGAAAAGAAACAAATCACCTATAAAGGAAAGCCCATCAAAATCACAGCAGACTTCTCAACACAAACCTTCAAGTCAAGGAGAGGTTGAAGTGAAGTATTTCAAACCCTAAAAGAAAACAACCTCCAACCCAGATTGATGTACCCTGCAAAACTATCTCTCAAAATTGGTGGAGAATTAAGATCCTTGCATGAAAAAAAAAAATCCTTGCGTGACAAAGAACACCTGAAGAAATTCATGACCACCAAACCAGCACTCCAAAATGTTCTGAAGCACATTCTAGAAAGAAATAATGAGTACTACATCTCCGTGAACCCTCACAAAATGAATCCACCAGGCAAGGTATCTTAATTACTTTGCTCTCATTGCTGAGGCAAAATACCTGATGCCCAAAATTCAGGAAGGAAGGGTTTATTTAGCTTACAGTTTGTGAAAGTTTCGGTCTCTATTCATCTGGCTTCAAGGCAGGGTGGCATGGCTGAGGGGCAACTGTTTATGGCATCAGTAGACAGCAAACGCAACAAGAGCAAAAGGGGAGGGGAGAGAGAGCAAGCCTCTTTCCCTATCTTATATTGTATGCGGGCTACTCACCCCAAGGCAAGTGTAGCACTCACACCCATAATCCCAGCCCTGGACAATGAATCAATCACAAACTCTAGAAGCACGTCCTCATGACTGCATGAGGCTTTGGGGGGACAACTAGGCACATAGCATAACACAAGGCAAGCAATTAAAAAGAGAGGGGAAGAAAAGGAACTAACAACAAAAAAATAACATGACAAGGGTAAGTCAATACATGTCGGTTATAACCATTAATGTGAATGGTCTGAATTCCCCAATCAAAAGAAACACTGGCATAATGGATCAAGAAACAAGATCCAACAATATGCTGCATATAAGAAACACACAATTCAGAAAGAAATTCATAGGCTGAAAGTCAAAAGATGAAAAACAATATACCATATGACAGGAAAAAAGCAGGGGTAGCTATTCTTTTTTTTTTTTTTGTATCAGGAATTGAATTCAGGACCTTGTGCTTTCCATGCAGGCAGTATGCCACTGATCTAGCTCCCCAGCCCCTGGGGTAGCTATTCTATTTGCAGACAAAGTGGATTCCAAGCCAATACTGATTAAGAGGGACAAAAAAGGTCACTATATCTTTGTAAAGGGAACAACCCAAGAGGAAAAGATAAAAATCATCACTATATATGCACCAAATACCAGCACACCAAACTATATAAAACAAATATTAACAGACATGAAAAAATCAAGTAAGCACTAATACAGTTGTAATGGGCTACCTCAATACCCCACCATCATAAATAGACCACAACAACAAAAAAACAAAGATTTATCAAAACTGAACCAACCTTTTGAACAAAGGGTCTTAGTAGATGTGCACAGAGTGTTCTACCTAAACATCAGAATAGACATTCTTCTCAGCCGCATATGGGACAGTCTCCAAAACTGACTACATACTAGCTTATGTAATAACATGCTTAAGTAAATGCAAAAGAATTGAAATTATCCCACACATTATCAGACCAGAGTGGAACAAAATTGGAAATCAATGACAAAAGAAACCACAAGAACTTCATAAATACATGGAAATTAAATAACAGCCTCTTTTTTTTTTTTTTTTTTTGGTCCTTTTGAGACAAGGTCTCACTGTGTAGTTCAGGCTGGCCTTGAACTCACTTTGTAGCCCAGGCTGGCCTCAAACTCATGGCGATCCTCCTACCTCAGCTGCGCCATCAGGTCTGGCTTAATAATAGCCTTGAACAACCAATGGGTCACACATGAAATTAAAAAAGAAATCAGGCAGTTTCTACAATTAAATGATAATACAAATACAACATACTAGAACTTACAAGATGCAATGAAACCAATCCTCATCATAAAAAACAGAATGAGTTAAAATAAACAACCTAATGATGAACTTTAAACTTCTAGAAAAAGAACAAGTCGAGCACAAAGCTCATATGAGAAGAAATTATAAAGATCAGAGCAGAAATTAATGCAATGGAGACGAGGAAAACAGTACAAAGAATCAATGGATCGAAGAGTTGGTCTTTGAAAGATTAAACAAAATAAAAAAACCCTTAGCCAATTTTATCCAAAAAAAAAGGATAAAAAGACTCCAAT